CAGCCACCCTGCGGGCCACCCGCACCCGCCCGGTGGTGGCGGCGGCGCCAAGAGCTCGGCCACGGTGAGCCGCAACCTCAACCGCTTCTCCACCTTCGTCAAGTCCGGCGGGGAGGCCTTTGTGCTGGGCGAGGCATCGGGCTTCGTGAAGGATGGGGACAAGCTGTGCGTGGTGCTGGGACCCCGGGGCCCCGAGTGGCAGGAGAACCCCTACCCCTTCCAGTGCTCCATCGAGGACCCCACCAAGCAGACCAAGTTCAAGGGCATGAAGAGCTACATCGCCTACAAGCTGGTGCCCAGCCACACCGGGCAGCAGGTGCACCGCCGCTACAAGCACTTTGACTGGCTCTACGGGCGGCTCGCTGAGAAGTTCCCTGTCATCTCCGTGCCACACTTGCCGGAGAAGCAGGCCACTGGCCGCTTCGAGGAGGACTTCATCTCCAAACGTCGCAAAGGCCTGGCCTGGTGGATGGACCACATGTGCAGTCACCCCGTGCTGGCTCAGTGCGATGCCTTCCAGCACTTCCTCACCTGTCCCAGCACGGATGAAAAGGCCTGGAAACAAGGCAAGCGCAAGGCTGAGAAAGATGAGATGGTGGGTGCCAACTTTTTCCTGACTATCAGTGTCCCCACAGGCCCTGGGGCCAGCCTGGACTTGCAGGAGGTGGAAAGCCAGGTGGATGGCTTCAAAGCCTTCACAAAGAAGATGGACGAGAGCGCCATGCAGCTTAATCACACAGCCAACGAGTTTGCCCGCAAACAAGTCACTGGTTTCAAGAAGGAATACCAGAAGGTGGGGCACTCCTTTAAGTGCCTCAGTCAGGCGTTTGAGCTGGACCAGCAGGCCTTTTCGACTGGCCTCAACCAAGCCATAGCCTTCACTGCAGAAGCCTACGATGCCATCGGGGACCTCTTTGCAGATCAGCCCCGCCAGGATCTAGATCCTGTCATGGATTTGTTAGCGCTGTATCAGGGGCATTTAGCCAACTTTCCAGACATCATCCACGTCCAGAAAGGTAAAACCCTTACATGTTTTCTGAAATGATGAAGTTTTACCTGTCAGTGGTATGCCCACAGATGTAGGGACCGGGGGCCACGTTTGCCCTGCATCTGGCTTACGGGCCTTGGGTTAAATCTTTCCGTGTTTACTCAGGTAAACTGTTGCTAAAAATACAAAAAAAAAATACATGTTACAATTTTCGTTCTGTTCCAAAGGTCTAGGCATAGTTGGAAATTTTACTGGTCAGAGATTGCAGCATTTGGCTGTGTATCTCTGAAAGAAACCACAACTACCTAGAATGCTGACACGCTAAAGATTAATGGGCTTGTTTACAAACCCTGGAAATCAAGTGGTATGAAAACATCTATTACTCTTTGATGTACCTTGGGTATCTTAAATCTGATGTAGTAGATAATAAATATGAAGTAATCTGAAGATGCAGGTACTTCTCGGATTGATTACCTTGTTTGAGGTGCACATGGTGGTGTGTGCATTTTGCAGTGTCAGGAAGTCAGATGTTTAAAGCTGCTGCGGTTCTCAATTCAGCCATGCATTAAACTCTTGGTGCCTTCGAAAGAATAGTTGTCTGCCACAGTGTTCTTGGTTGGAGTTGTTCATCCTCTGCCCTTATCATGAAAAATTGTTGCTGACCTGTTATCCTTTCAGCATCTTTCTAGCTGAAACAGCTTCTGAGGTTCAGATTGTTTTGTATGATGCTTTGTGATTTATCAGAGAAAAAAAAACTGCAGAAATGAATCATCTGCTGTATAGCTACTAAGACTTGGTCAGATAAATAGAATTTTGTAGCACTATATATGTGTAGATTATTTCCCTCCCTACTGTGAAATTAATGATATTCTTATATTCTTCACCATTCTTACAAGACTAGCCCATCATTTGTTCTTTTTGCTGTAATATTCCTTAACTGTAGTTTTCAACTTGAAGACCCAGGGGGATGTGGGGATTGGAGCTGTAAAAGAGACCAGGAAAACATCACATATGCTCTGCAGAAATGGGTGTGTGTAACAGTTACCTGAGAAAACGCATGAAATGCTTTATTGAAAATTGTTTTGGAGGTTAGTAAGTGGAATTCTGCATCCCAAGAAGCAGCTCTTGAATTGTCACCCACGATGAATCAAGTCTTTTCACCCTTACGTGACATTTCCAGGTTTTTTGCATCTGGAACAGTACCTTGAGTTTGGTGATAAAGGATTTGGAAGATTTTTTTCAACAGATCAAAAAGGCAGGCTTCCAGGAGGTATGCATTATTGCTGGGAAAATCTGAGAAAACAGAGGGTAAAAAGTGCACAATTTGTTGTTACCTAAGAAAGCAAGCATTTAATAAAAATTGCATGCATCAGAGTTTCTGTTTTTCAATTTTCCTGTTGAATCTTGAAAATTGTGAGTGGAAGCTTAAACAATCTTAGTATTATTTCAAAGAGAAAACGGAAATGTGCAATATAAACTTTGAAGAGTTGTTCTGCTAGCTGCTGTGGCATTGTGTTCTCATAACTTTAAAGTATTTTAGGTTTGAGAGAAGGGTGGCCTTGGCAAATGCATCCTGTTTGGGAGTGTAGCATTTTGAAGTGAGTTGTCAACTAATAATCGAATTACCTGTAGGCTTCTGGAAAAAAATGAAGGGAAAGATTTTTCTGGTGTAAAAACCCAGCAAATTATATATACTATTTAAATAATATATCCTCAAGCTCTGAGGCTATATAGAGTTCTTCACTGAAGTATTTTTGGAGACAGGACTTTGAAGAGAGGATTGGAAATAATAAAATACGCACTTGACTCAACGCTGTTTCTTTTATAGTTCTGTTTGAATTTGTGCTTACTGGTTAGGTTTACCTTGCTGAATTGGAAAAAGTTCATTTAAATGAGCACCCACTAGAGCAGTGCATGCGTGTGATGTGTGTAGAGTTTATTTTGTGCTAGAGCACTGACCTGGAGCTGGTTGGAGAAGCAGTCTGCATGCGGGTGTTAATGTTCCAGCACCGCTGGGCTAACGCTGCCTTCAACACAGTATTATCTCTGGTACATACTTGCCATCAGAAAAAGTCATGGGCTTGAGGGGTTGGTCTCTTGAGTGTCTATGTTCATGATAGGAACAGTATTAGAACTGGGTTACATGTTTGTTGTTGTCATTCCTGTTACGAAACAGGCAAACTGGAGGAAGACTGAGAGGAGGGTGTTTTTTACACAGTGTATATTGCTACGTTATTACTATTGTTACTTACATGTAAGAAGATACAACTTTTACATTTCAAATTGTAAACTTCAGATGAAAATATGAAGTTTGGTGTTCTTACAACATGAGAGCTTTCTTTTAGATTTACTATCTGACATAGTTGCTAGTTCTGAGAATTATTGTCTGTATAGACTAAACAAGTATCTGGTGATAATAGATTATCAAAAAAATAGAGTTGATCCATGTTTTTTTAAGTGTTTTGTTTTCTAGTGTACAACTTCTTTGTGCAGTAAAATGACCTCAGAGTGCCCTTAGCATGGTAGAAACAGCAGCCTGATTGCTGCATTGCTTACATGGCTGTGCCTTTGAAAAGGTGAAATTCGAAGTTAAGAGCAGTTCTCCTTTATTTTGTACATAATGCTAATATATTGTCCACTTGGGATACAAAGCAAGGCCTTTTCTAGACTCCCATTTCTGTATTCCCCTAGACCTGAGAAGGACCGAGAAATCAAGGCAGCTGTGCCCAAAACATACCCATGTCTGTGGCTAGGATATTCAACTGCATTGTCCTGTTATGGGTTTGCTCTACCGCAGATAGCTGAACATCTGCTGAATGTGATTTGGAAGTGTGTTTTGTGGTATAGACTGAGAAGTTCACATGTCTGGGTTTTTTTAATCATTTCTGCAACTTCTGCAGAAAGAAGGACAGAGAATCTGTAAGTCAGAGACAAAAATTTTTCTCCATTTGGGCTTTGTCTTTTCTCCCAGAATTATGAGCCAAAACCATGTAAGCCCCGCTGTTGCTTTGATCACGTATCAGCAGGAATATATGTTAACTGTTGTGCTTTTAATTGCTCTGGCATCCAGGTCTTTCTGCTTCCTGTGCTGAGGACATCATACATGATCTGAAATGTGCAGAAAGGGATTGTTGATTTGGTCATTTGTGTAAAACATGCGAACCAATAGACTGTGGGAATATATATTTTCAAACTGTTATCTTATTAATGTCGTAGTATTTTATGAAATCACTATAGCTTCAATAGCAGATTTTTAAAGATTCCTTTACCTCTGCCTCCTTCATCTTGAGCACCCAGTGTTTAAGGAATTTTCTGTGAAGGTGGGAATAGGAATAAGTCCCTGTACTGGAAGAGGCAGCAGAAGGATTTGAACTTTCCTGTCCCACATGCCAGTTGAGGATCAACTTGTCAGTGCTTTGTGAGAGACCTTACCACGTTTCATGTGCCCTCCAGTCCAGGTCTGAATATTCATTCAGTTGAGCCCTACAGCAAAGGATGCACCGAACTGGAAACCCCACATTTCCATCTGGAAACACTTGACTGCAGTGGTCACAGACCGTATCAGCCCCAAGGCATACATGCCTTACAAGTGACTTACTGTTTTATAGGTTTTATTTGGAAAACTAAGCAATTAGATGAAAACTGGCACCTGTGGGGAGTAGATGATGACAGAGTGATATCTCAAGTGTCTAAGCTCCCAATATGTGGATGAATCTAGCCCTCAACTGGCCCATAGGTAAATGCTTCTAAGTGTGTGCATAAAAATATTCCTGTGCATACCTGTGTTATTTTGAGAGGAAGATCCAAATATGTTAGACACATATACTTGTATTAAATTTTCTTTAGCATCTGATAAAACATTTGTAGAAGAGGAATATTAAGTTCAGTAGGTTCAAAAACTGAGCTGCACTTTTGTCATTTTCTTCCACAGAACTGTTGTATCTTTCAAGAAATACTAGATTTGATTGCTTTAATTTTGAGGGGAAAAAAAAAAAAGCAGCCTCTGAACTTCATTTGTAATGGATAATGCCTTCTTTTCTGTGTTTTTAAGTAGAGTCTATTCATGGAAATTCCCTAGGCATTCTTGGCAAAATAATGCCTAAATATTAATTGCTAGAGCTTCATTCCACTGATGAGATCTTCTGACTTCAATAATCCTCAACACTGCAGGCCCATGCAAGTTCTGGTTCAGAAAATTAATGCACATGTGAGAATTTGTGATAGTGTCTGCTAGTACTCTAGCTCATGTTTGTCTGGCTATCTTGTCTTTATATTTGCTTTGTGAGAGCAGAGAAGTTACAGGTTTTCAGATTTCTTTCAAGTTTTATTTGAGGAGTTACAATAAGTGACCTCTTGTGATTCTGAAAGAGGAAGAAATACTTATTTGCTGTTTCATCTCTGCTTTCCAGATTTCTTCTTACTCTTAATATTATGATTTTAATGCTAGAGAAACCTTTGGTTATGATTTTTGCAAAACAGATTTGAGAAAGTGGTCTAAACGTTTTCTAAGATGTGGGCAGTAATTCTGTTTCTTCTGCATGCCAAGATTTAAACCATTTTTTAAAAATATCTGAATGACCTTTTTTCTCCTTGATCACCATTTGTGAAAAATAAAATAAGGCAAATTATCTTATTTACCTGAAGCAAACTTGATTCTCGACACTGACTTTAAAGTATGTGCTGGGTGTGGTTTTAGAATATTTTACAAAATTACAGGTGAAAAAAACATGCCAGCTGAAATGCATCAAAATTTCAAGTATCAAAAAACCCAAACAGTATGGAAACCTGGAACTCTCTGTAACATTTTCAGCAATGTTTTATTTTACAGGGGGAAGGGAGGGGTATGTGTGTTCACAAATAAATCAGACTGCTCAAAATTCACATGTAAAATTTTATATCATAGTTTTCTCTTTTGCTTAATTTCTAACATCTTAAATTTGTTGTGTAGACATGGTTTTTCCATTCCTGTTTTTGTTTTTATCCACCTTTTTTTTTCCCTCCCTCTGTCCCTCAGATGCATACACTTGC